GGTGCTATGGGAATGCCTAGCCAATTCAGGAACGATAGGAAGTCGCCCCACAAAATAAAACACTGTACTTCAATGTATTAACGCGGGACTGGCGGCCTGACGTTTCAGAGGCCAGAGAGATACTGGTGAGCGATATGAGACTAACAGCAGGAGCGATAACAGCGGTTATGGAGACGTAGATGGCGAGCAGCGGTGACTGTTTAGGGTGTCGATGGACAATCGGTGATGTTAACTGATGCCGGCATCTGTGAACGACCAGTGGGTGTCCTTTTGGTTCCTTACAATGGTTAGACTACCGGAGGCGACCGGCGGATGTACTGGTGGATCGCCCAGCGTTTTCTGGCAACCTTAAGAGTACTAGTAGTGACCGGTGGAAGCACTGGACGGTCGTCCCATTGGTCTCAGCCAGTGTTAGATGACTCTTGACCGCCGGTAGATGCAATGGTAAATGGTCCTGTTGCTTTCGCTGACTGCTTCTGGTGTCCGCTGGTGCTGTACCCCGCATGGCATTGAGCTCGCTCTATGCGCTGTTTGCTCCATGTTTCACAGCGATTATGCTTCCTTCTTCTCTCACTTAAGCTCTAAGCGTCTAAATGTAATTTATTCCAGTAGACCTTTTTAGAAGCCCTAAGCCACCAGCAATTAGACCAGATTGACGCGGTTTGTACATGGCGAGATTGCAGATTTTGTTACGTAAGCATTCTGGACTGATACCATTCCACCTCTCCGTTTTCACAATTTAGCTTAAAAGGGCAATTATGGTTAAGATCTGTCTTTCGTAAGACAAATGAAAGACAGATGGCAAGATAGTTCGAAAGACTTTTTTATAGCACAAGAATCTTAGAAAAAGCTCTCCCATTCATCTCTCGTGTTGAAATGCTATTATGAAAGAAAGCACTTGATTATCATTCAGCTCGCGTCGATCCAACAGTCGAAAGTACAGACGTGTCTTTCGAAAGATACAAGTTCGAGACCTCGGGCAGCGGAACTTTTTTTTCTTAACTTACATTTTTTTCGTTTTTAATTTAATTTTCTTTAAATTTTGAGATTTTATTGTTTCAAAGAAAACATTTTTTATTAAATCAAATTTTTAGAAACTTATTTTATTTATTTTTTTCCTTTTTTGATTCCATTTCTACAAATTAATTTTCTTTTAATTTTTAGAAAAAAATATGATTTTTAAATTTTATTAAATTTTTATTTACTATTTTCTTTTTTTATTTAATCTTTTTCTAATTTAATTTTTAGATTTTGTTGTTTTAAGAAGACCAAAAAATTATTTAAATTTCATTTAATTTTAAATTGTTTTTATTTATTTTGGCTTTTTTATTATTTTTTTCTATTTTTTATTATTATTATTATTATTGTTTTAAAAATAAAAAAATTGTAGATGCGTTCTTTTAATTTAATTTAATTTTTAAAAATTTATTGCTAAAGAAGAACAGCATACCGCTAAGACCATAGAACTTCTTCGCAGAAGAACTATAGATTAGGAGAAACATTCTGTTCTTGGTGAGCTCTGCCTCGAAAGAAGGAATCCCACTATTTTTACCCCGTAGGTTTAAAATTTGGGAACTGTTTTGTTAGTTTATTTATTATAGTGTTTTTTTTTCTCATCATGAAAAGAAATGTGTTTCTTCTCGCTCAAAAAATCAGTCACTAATGGCAATAAAATTACGAAAATCTTAAAAAATATTATATTTTGTCTGAAGAGCAATCCGAAGAGGTTCCTAAGGACGGCACTTCTGGTTGACAAAATGCACTTGAGGAAAAGTTACTCATATCTCCACACCAAGGTTCAATTAATCCACCTTATATGCAGGATCTACGTAGAGTTCTAAACTAAACTTCCCTTACCTACTAGAGTTCATTATCTATTTGATTTTGTATTGATCAAACCTCAAACCTTTTTTAGTTGATTATTCGCTTACTCTGATCGGCCTGCGGTAATCTATGGAAAGCTGCGTTGAGCTTTTTCAACCTTTCTTTTCTACCTTTTTCAAGCATGTGTTTTTTTTTTCATCTATCCAGGTCGCGCCTACTCCAACATGTATGGCATGTATTGTCTAGTCGTTTTCTTTACCACCATCATTGCCACATATGGTTCCTTCAGCGAAATTATGGATCATGGCGCTACGTATAAGGAAGTTGGTCTTTTCCTCATAGTTTTCTATTGCATGAGTCTACTCTACATCATTTGCAATGAGGCCCATTATGCCACACAAAGTGTGGGTTTGGACTTTCAAACGAAGCTGTTGAATGTAGACCTTACTGTGGTGGACAGCGCCACACAAAAGGAGGTGGAAATGTTTCTAATGGCGATAACAAAGAATCCGCCTATAATGAATTTGGATGGCTATGCGAATATTAATAGAGAGCTGATAACATCGGTGAGTTTGTTGAAGGTGGTTCTCCCTATATTGTGAACTGATATTGAAAGCGATCCCTTTTTTGTTTCAGAACGTCTCATTTATGGCCACTTATTTGGTAGTGTTGCTTCAATTCAAAATAACGGAACAAAGGAATTACACTTTGAGGGGTGTTTGAGTCAAATTGAACTTTTATTAATGTAGGAGGCATTCTTTTAAAATCGTTAAAGCCTCGAATTTCGACTTTTTTAATGAATTTTTCAAAAATGTTTCAAAAAGTCCTTTCAAGCCTTCAGTTCGCGAAATCTACTTGTGAGTGCGAATCTGGATATATGTATGTATGTATAGATGAGAAATCTCTAAAGTACTTTTCATACGAATTTCCACAATTCAGTTAAAGATTTGACACTTACCGAGGCTTTTTCGAGCGTAAGTGAATAGTCTCATTCATTTAGTCTGCATACCTTATTAATAAATTTAAATAAATACTAACATTTGGCAAATGCCAAGTTTTTTGGCCCGCCTTGGATGAGTACAAGGTGGACTGCAGTGGTTTTTATTCAACAGTTTTCTCTATACCGCCATCTCGTTTCTTGACTAGAAATGCCTCTTAATCCTTTAAACATTTTTAAATTTTAGTATCTTCCCAAATTTTGAAAAGCGCGGATAAAATAGAGGCCGGTATCCAAGTAGCTTTTAAAATGTATCTGCTCTTAAACCTAAATTTTGTTCTCAAAAAAATAATTGAAAGCCAGATACATGAAAAATCGAATATACTAAAATTTCAAAAATTTTGCAAGACCAGCATTTTAATGAAAATTTCAGGCACACAAATTATTTGCAAATCACCACTTGGTTCATAGATTGCAAGTTTGCGGACAAAATGGAAACGTGCACAATAGTTATCTACTCAGCTCTACAACTAAAGTGGCATGCAATTATATCAATGCAAATTTTGGTCATTTTTCGGATGGAAAATCAATTAAAAACTCATCAATTAATAGTACAGAAATGTATTGTTATCTAAACGGAAATATAGATACCTAAGAGGAAGTATATAACTACATACATATATAGCACAAGGAATGGACATTTATTGTTCAGGCATATGGTGAATGCAAATATGCATATGTACGTATGTGTGACCAAAATATATGAGGCAAATGAAGTACAATTAGCTGGCACTAGCCTGACAGGAAGGAATGAGGCCAGCAGCATAACCCTGCTAGGGCAAAGCATATCAGAAACGATGGAGGAGGGTGGGTAAGCCTGAAGGCGGAACAGGTCATATGCATGAAATGTGTATGCCTATATAGTACAGCTATGGACATGACAAATATTTGCCTATAAATCAGTTTTTTTTTTTATATTTGATGATATCGAAAAGTGCACGGAAATGAACTGTGGGCAAGTATTCAATACTCTAATAATAAAAGCTTACTTTACTACTTAAATACATGTGTATCCCAGCATACTTCAACGGTGGTCATGGTACTCGTAATGTCATGGCAAAAAGGCTTAAGTGGCGATAAGGAAGCTCTACTTCCAGGAGCTCCCAACTTTCGCCAAACTAATAGGAATAGCTTAGTAAGTAGTACCACAACCATGCTACGACCTCGCTCGCACTTGGGACTAAGTAATAGCTGAACTGAAGGTTTTAGATGATCGACTGAGAGAACAAACACAGTAGCTGAGTACAAGTGCCACCAGATTTTGAGGTAGCTGTGCCGAGGACTGACTTATCGGCAGATGGTTATTGAATTGCTATCAGCGAATGGTCGCTTACGATAAATGGGAGAAGTCAGACGTATTCCGAACAACGCATGAAAAACAACGAAAAAAACAAATTAAGGTGCAGAACGGCAATGAAAAAAATGATTTCTTGATCTGAGGTTGCAGAATCCGAGGCTCTCGGTATTACCACCTATGGTAAACCGGCAGCATTTGACCTTGTAAAACTACCGGGAGTAACACCGATGGGTGCGGTGCGGTTAGGTTAGGTAAGCCAGTCGTCCCCAGTTGGGGATAGACTTTCTCATTCTAGAGGTTATCCTTTGTGATACCACGTAATGTTGAACGGCAGTGACTCCCGCCGCTATGCTAGCTGTGATATTTTGATCTTAATCTGGTGAAAGCTGGAGAGCTTAGTAAAAATGTTGGAATGAGTTTGGAGTTTTTTGTCTCATCGCGTCAATTCTGATCGGACGAAAATTTAGCGTAGAAACTTGTTTGACCGTTCACTGGGGGTTGACATGAGATCCATCTGTCCAAGAGTGAATCACAGGTCAGTTGCGTTGCCGCCCGATTCTTGCTTGGTCATATCGTTTCAAGGGTACGCTTTCTCAGTAGCTTGTCAGCCATGCAGGCTATTTCGTTTTTCGCAAAGGCACTAGAGCCTGGTAATCTGAAAGATTATATATTATTGTATAATTAGATAAAATTCCGATTCGAGGGAGGTGGTCAGACACTCCCTAAGCAATTGTGAGCAAAACAGCGAGCTGAGGGCTAAGATTACCGCTCGATTATTAGAGTAGATGGTAGTAAATGTCAAGCGCTGTTGTCTAAAAAACGTTACAGAAGTCTGGAATTCTAAACTTGATATTAATGGAGTTTTTATAACGAAAAACCCCTCTGAAAACCATCCTATCAAGCTTATACCGATCCGTAAAAAAGTGCACAGGTCTTTCCTTTCAGCCACCTCTCCCACTCAACCGTCCCTTGAACGAAGCCATTTCAGAGGTCCCGCGGAGTCAGTGACGAAATGTGAACTTTCAATAACTACCAGCAATAACACACATATCAATCCCTCTTCGACACAGGCTGGTATCAACCTGAAATCCGAGTGAAAATAACTGGGTCCTAAAAGACGAGGTGAAAATCTCGGGACCAGTCCTAAAGCCAGTTGGCTGCTCTAGGAAGCTAAAAAGTGCAAAACACTACTGGGAAGTAATTGTAAGATATGAAAACTTCTCGGAAATAGCACGCCAGCATAGAGCGAGTCAAAAAAGGGAATAGGTCAGCGAACGCAAGGGCGAACAGGAAGCCTTAAACGAAAACGCAGGAAATAGAATCGAAATCGATACAGCAGATATGGGTGGAGCTGCATAAACGTCCTCCTCCAGGTGTCGACTACTGCGCGGACCAAACAGCTGTGAACGTCCAAGACAAAATCAAGTTACCTTTTGAAGGTGAAAGATTTTATATGACCTCTGTAGGCATACATAGCCTAAAACCGATCTATTGCATGCTCCAAAATAATTCAGACTGTTGATGATTTCCTTTATTTAATTTAATGTAAGATCGGTTTGTTCGTTTTTAAGAAAACTTCACTACTCAAAAATGTTTTGAAGCACTGTAAACATTGGGCATAATTACTTAGCTTCGATAAGACTTGCTACCTAGTGCTTAGCTTCGCAGAAATTTTTAAGGTCCATATTGTTACTAGAAAATCTAAGACCAAATCATAAAACTAACTCCTGGAATAATGTTGAAAAACATCGCAGTTCCCAAGGTAAACTGGAAATTAAGCCGCAATCCGGTTAGGTGTGGACACTCGCAGAGGATATGTTTTATAGTCCCCTCATTCGAACAACTTAACGCATGTGAATGCAACAAATCTTGTGCTTTTAATACACCGACTACTAGCTTGGCGACCATCCTCTGGCTATCATATATTCCGCACATATTTCTTGACTCCATGCTGTTGGCTTCTGTTCGAAACATTCTCTGCCTGCCTGATAATCTAGAGGCTCTGTAATGATCTCGCTGAAAGCAGCATTGCCGTGACAATCCAGTCGTAGAGAGAAGACGTTAAGATCCAGGTGTCGCCCCGACGGCTTTCTTCGCACTCTCCTTTACGAGTATTATTTTGATGTAATTGGCGCTTAGCTTCAGCTAAAAAGTCACTCTACCTAGCTTAGGTCTAGATTATGTCTTCTCAGCGTGGAGCTTTGGGCACAGTCAGTTATTGACCCACTGTAAATGAGTAAATAAATACATAGTACGTATGAAAATGTCTATGAACAGTTTTGCCTTATGTGTTTACATATTTGAACAAAAGGGACTATTCTTTTGGAGGCACAAAATTGGTTTAAACCCATCGAATATCTACTACAAAAGAAATGGCACAAAAGGTGGTTGTGTACACGAAGGAAAACTCTTAAAATTTTAATGATAGGTACTCATACCAGCGCTGGGCGTAAACCGAAGCTCTTCCATATACTAGTTGGCTTTGGGTAAATAAAAGTGCACCTGCACTGGTCAGTTTTATACATATCTACATACATATGTATGTATGTACGTATTTATAAGTTTAGAGATAGTTTCATTTTAGTACCGTGCCTAATGTACATCCATACCAACGTTTACTTACTTTAAATAGTACAATTCGCTCCTTTATATTTACCATTGCATATTTACACTACCATTTCCACATGGCATTGCACTTTGTTTGGTTTTACTTACATATGTACATACATGTGTAGGTATATATGCATTTGTCACCGACGACTAGTAATAGCATTGTAAGGCACTTTGCTCACACTTTTACCGTTTGTTGTGCAAGTTGAATGACGCTTAATCGTTGGAAAATTGATTTGAAATCGTTTGAAAAGTGTTTATTGGCATTTTAAAGGCGCATCTGCGTACAGACAAAGAGGATGTGGTCATTTGTCAAATGGGAAGTGATTCGGGGTAAGGAAGCAAAAGTCTACCTGCAAAACTACATTTGATTTTGTGCATTAGGCCGTACCAGACAAAAGACAAAAAAAGACAATGCAAGACAATTTCGAAAAAAATTAAATTATTTTTGGCTGAACGTTTGGCATTTACAGTCGGCTCTTAAAGTATGATATAGCGACGTTTTTAGCTCGAACAAACAATGTCGTAAACATCGCCTTTTTATTTATTTTTTTTTTTTCGAGGAGAAAATTTTTATTGTATCGAAGTTCATTGATTTAAGTACCACGTTCTAGTACCCACCAGATCTCAATTCTTATCAATTTAACGTACCACCCTAATGCCAGTATATTAAAGCTCACCAAACATCATTACACCTTCATTTAGAAGTACTTCGATTATTCCAGTAGAACTATTTTAAAATTTTTTATTGCCGAATGTAAGTAGTTGTCACCAAAAAAGTAAAAGGCCTAAAAAATATTTTTTCCCGAAATATGACTT